AACATTGATTTATTGTTTTAACAGTTCCATCAGAACAACAAAAGCCTTTACTTTCTTTTTGAAATTTCTTTGCTCCACAAAAAAAAAAAAAAGAAAAAAAAAATTGGCAAAGGTAACACATAAGATTCAGTTGGAATTTTTTGTAAAATGTTTGAACTATTGGCTAATGTTTGTACTTCTGGCAACGCAGTAAAACCTAATAAAAGAAATAAACAATCTATAAATTTCAGTGAAAAATAATAGTACAAGAAACTAAACTTAAAGGTATAGGTTACCCGTTCCGTGAATATCACCGGTACTCTTAGTAGATGCATTAGATTCACAAACGTAAACCGCATCACCTACAAAATACCAACATATAACTTGAGGAAGATGAAATATAATTAAATAGCATAAAGTAAATGGGAAAAAAACCTTCAAACCTATAACACAAGTGTTATATATGAATTTTGCAGATACATGATGCATGAGAAGTAATAAAATCCAACATGGTAGTTGCACATGCGAAAACGAAAAGAAAATAAGCTTCAATTAAATAAAAGTTGTATATATCTATTAGAAATACCCTCATCTAGTGTTCTCTTTATTCTTAGATCCCGTTGATATTTAACTCTACCCGCTCTTGTTTGAACCTATGATTTTTGGGTGTACATTCCAGAATTCTCGTGCTTGGGTGTATAATTCTCGACGTTGTGAATTTCGAGATTATTTTGATTTAGCATAAATTTCTCAACAACTCTTCTTTTGTAGTTCACAGCTTCCAGAACTACCCTCACCGACATCCATAAGACAAATAATTAAAGACAATGTAAAGTGGAAAAAAATGTTAAAACAGAGTACAAAAACAGCAAAACTAAAAAAGTATAAACGGAAAAACGAAAGTCAAAGTGCAAAGAAGAAAGTCGTGGGTAAAGCTGATGAACCGTGTGATATGTGACACTTTTATTGTCAACCAAAATATTTTTGTTATCATTTGTTTCACATATATTTTCTAACTTCTATTAGCCTCAGTTATGTATTATAATTCAAGCAAGTTAGGTGCTATAACTGTCCATTGTGCAGCCACGTATGGAAGAGTGGAGTTAGGTAGAATAGTTGTTGGAAATCATTTTGAATTGTACCAAATGTATGGCTATATGTATCAACTGTGTTCCACCACTTTCCCTCATCTTTGTCTTGTATATTCTATCAGTGGTATCAGAGCTTATCAGATCTTAGAAGGGTTGAAAAAGAGCTAAAAAAAATTGAAGAAACCAGTAAGTTGTATAAAAATCGGTAAGCTTTGTGCAAATTCGGTAAGTTTAGCTCCTTGTTTTTTTTCTTTCATTCTCTTTGAAAACTAGCAGTCTTGAGAGAAAACCAGTAAGGAACCTTCATACTAGCCAAACGTGTGAGTGAGAGTGATGGCTTCAAGTGGTTTTTCTGCCCCTTTACCTTCAACATTCACAGGAGAAAATTATAACTTCTGGTCTGCAAAGATGAAGGCATACTTGAAACCTTATGACCTTTGGGAAATTACAGAAATTGGAGTTGAACCACCACCATTGAGGGCTAATCCCACCATAGCTCAACTGAAGCAGCATAGTGATGAGATAGCCAAGAAGTTTAAGGCCTTTCTTGCATACAATCAGCTGTCTCAGATGCTACATTCACAAGGATAATCACCCGTGAAACTGTAAAAGAGAACATGGGATAGGTTGAAAGAGGAATTCAAAGGTAATGAAAGGACAAGACCAATGCAGGTTCTAAACTTCAGGACGGAGTTTGAAACATTGAAGATGTAGGATTCAGAGACGGTTAAGGAATTTGCTAACATAATAATGAAAATGGTAAAACAGATCAGATTGCTTAGAGATGATTTGCCAGACAAGAGAATAGTGGAGAAGGTGCTAATTAGTTTGTCAGAGAAGTTTGAATCTAAGATTTTTTCACTTGAAGATTCAAGGGACTTGGCTAGCATCTCTCTGGCTGAATTAGTAAATGCCCTTCAAGCTACTGAACAAAGGAGATTGTTCAGGCAAGAAGAGCAGATTGAGGGTGCTATGTTTACTAAAGGAAAACATAAAACTCAAACACATTTTGGTGGAAAGAAGCCACAAAATGAGAAGAAGGAAGCTGAAGTTAAAAGTTCAGGAAAGGATGCTAAGTATCCTCCATGTCCACATTGCAAAAGAAAAGGCCATTCACCAAAGTGGTATTGGTTCAGGCCTAGAGTCTAATGCAAGTCTTGCAAGCAGTTTGGACATGTGGAGAAGGTTTCAGTAGGCAAAATTAGGAAAAGATTAGGCTGAAGAACATCTATTTTTAGCCTTAAATCATACAACCTATAGTAGGGTTCAGACTTGGCTACTTGGCAGTGGTTGCACCCACCATATGACTTCAAATTCAAATATTTTTATGGAGATGAATGATGGCTACAGAACAAAAGTGAAAGTAGGAAATGGGGAGTATGCAGAGGTGAAAGGCATTGGCAAGGTTTTAGTTCAGACACCAATAGGTACTAAGCTCATTTATGATGTTTTGTATGTCCCAAATATTGACCAAAATCTGATAAATGTTGGCCAATTAATTGAGAAGAGGTACACCTTAATATTTAAGGATAGTAGTTGTATAATTTTGGATCAAAATAACCTGAAGCTAATGATAGTAGAGATGAGGCATAGAAGTTTCCTATTGGAATGTAAAAATATGAATTCACATACCTTCATCAGCACTGTAGTTGAATCTGAACTATGGCATAAACGTTTTGGGCATGCAAATTATACTTCACTCAAATGTTCAAATGAACTAGAGTTGGTTGAGAATATGCCAAGAGTATATGATGCTGCCTGTGTTTGTGACATCTGCCAGAAGGAAACAAATCGGACTTCATTTTTCCAAAAACCAGTCAAGGAGAGCTCAAAACAGACTTCAGTTGGTTCATTCTGATGTATATGGACCTATGAGGACTTCAACTCTGAATGGTAGCAAATATTTTGTCCTCTTTATTGATGATCTAACAAGGATGTGTTGGGTTTACTTCCTTAAAATGAAGTCTGAAGTTCCTGCATATTTTAGAGGTTCAGGAACCTGGTTGAGAAAGAAAGTGACTACAAAATCAAGGCCATTAGGACTGATAACGGGACTGAATATGCCGCAATCAGTTTGACAGATTTTGTGAGGAAGTAGGGATTAAACATCAGCTAACAATCCCTTACTCACCTCAGCAAAATGGGTTCTGTGAAAGAAAGAATAGGATAGCAATGGAAATGACAAGGTGTTTAATGCTGGAAAAGAATGTGCCAAAGGTTTTTTGGGTTGAGGCAGTGAACACTTCAATTTACCTACTTAACAGGTTGCCTACTAAAGCTTTGAACAAGTTAACTCCCTATGAGGCTTGGTATGGAGTTAAGCCAAACATTTTACGTCTGAAAGTGTTTCGAAGTGTGTGTTATATGCATATACCGATGTGAAGAGAGACAAGTTAAGTCAGAAAGCTGAAGCAAGAGTTTTAGTTGGTTATTGTGAAAATGCTAAGGGTTATAGTGTTTATAATCCTCAAACCAACAAGGTTGTTTCCAGTAGAGATGTTAAAGTTGATTAAAGTTCTTCATGGAACTGGGAGTCAAATTCTATAAATAAACCTGAAACTCCAAGACTAATTTCACAAACTGAAGATGCTAATAATAATGATGAAGAAGTTGAGGATGAAGCTGAACCCGAGGGTGAATCAGATTCAGAAAATGAAGTGATAAGAACCAGATCACTTTAGGACATTTATGCCATCTGCAATGCAGCAATTCTGGAGCCTACAACTTTCAATGAAGCAGCCCATTCCCAAGATTGGATAGAAGTAATGAAGGATAAGCTTAAGGCAATTGAAAAGAATGACACTTAGATACTTGTTGACAGACCAAGAAACAAAAATGTTATTGGTGTTAAATGGGTATTCGGACAAAGTTGAATGCTGATGGTTCAATCAATAAGTTCAAGGCTAGGCTAGTTGTAAAAGGTTATGTGTTCGCTTGAAACCCACAAGCGTATGGGATCGTTGTACAAGTAATAAAATATGTGAGTTAAGAGTATCGTTCCCACCAGGAATAAGGTCTAATTTGTAGTTCAATAGCTACTATTAATTTCAAAGTATTATGACATCAATATAATTATGATTTATTCTAATTCTACTCTAGAAAAGCAAATAAATACGATATTTTATCTATGTGAATGCTTGTATTGGATTCATGTATCCCCCTATCCACTTATTTCAATTCTTAATAATCATTCTATTCAATTCATGTATTTTGACAATCGATAAAGCTAATATGTTAAATGTTCTTTCCCAAGATACACCAACCTATGACTAACACGAGACGATCCTATTCCTAGTCCGAATTCATACGAAAGTCACGCATTTGGTTTAGATTATCAATAAGATTGCATGTGTGAAAAAGATTATTCCTAATTCTAACTACACATGTTGATTTTACAGCGTTCTAAACTTATTGTGAGTATTCCTACACTACAACAAGCAACTAACTACTTAATTGGTGATCAAGCAATAAGTAGTGTGATGAGTATGTAAAATCAATCAAATAATAACACAAAAATCCTACACTACAACAAAAGAGCATACGGCAACGTTTGAAAAATGTTGCCGTAGACCTTTTGCAACGTTTGGACGTGTGTTGCAAATCGAGATGTTGCCTAGAGTAAAAAGATACAGCAACGTTTTTTAAACGTTGCCGTAGGTCTACGACAACGTTTAAAAAACGTTGCCGTATGTTTTTTTTTTTTTTTTGCAATTTATGTAAATTGACCAGCAAAATTGAAAATACTCATTTAGAACAAAATTTAAAATTGCATAAAAATTGATAATTTCATTACAAATTTTTGAATCCATACACTTGAACATTAAAATGTAAATTATGTAATATATCACCACCTAAATAAAAAGGAATTTCAAAATGAAATAAAATTTTGCGACAAACAAAAGCAGATATGAAAATGCTACCCTAAGAACTTCACAGCATTCCCACTGCATTTAAAAGAACTTGCATTAGCTGCTTTTCATCACCAATGACATACTCCAGCAAATCTGAAGATAAACTCAATGTAATGGACAACTTCACAGATGCTATAGGCTTTATCAAGTTAAAGGCCTGCAAAAAGAAGCAGAGTTAGCCAAATATATCAAGCAAAAATCCGAAAGTAACTTTTATGTATGCTATACTACATCCATCTAGCATGTCTCTTATTTAGCTTACCTTGGCCCTTGAGATGTTTCAATTATCCATGACCACTGTGGATTACAAACTCATTTGACCATAGGTAGTGTTGCCATGTACTAGCAGATAAAAGTGTACAAAAAAGGAATTTGAATCACAGAAAAGTCCGAGGAAGAAAACTAAGAAAGAACAAGACCTCCATTTCTAAAGCGACTTAAAAAGGCAAATATCAATAACTAAAAAACAAATTTTAGACGATTTCAAGCAAATTTTAGACTATTTCAAGCAAAAACCCATGTCATTTCTATACACACAGAAGTTGCAAAAACAGGTTCTTGAAAAACCCAACAGCCACATCTCATTTCTATACTTGTCACGGTTTCCCTTCCTAAATTCCTGAACACAATGTTTGCCATTACTTCAAGTTGTGTTAACCACATATATTCGTTTGTCTTGCGCTTCTATATTTATGCACTTATTATACAACTTTTGCACCCATGGATCCGTGTCTTGTAACTGATAACTAATAATAACTACGTGAATTTAGTAGCAACTAGCAACTGAAAAAGAAATAGACAAGATGAAGATTCAGAGGTAAAAAAATAGGAAAAGTACCCCATCTGAAGCAAGAACAATGAATTTATCCCTATCACTAAGAATCCGATGAGAGAATTCAGGAATGGAGATTACTCCATACTCCTTCAAACAAAAATCCCCAAATGCTCAAGCCATTGCTAATCCAGGAGCATCATCAAAAGGCAGCCAAACTCTTTGCACTTCAGGCTCATCTTGCAAAGCAAAAACTCGACCCCTACACCGTTTAATCCTTTCTGACTCCCCTGATTTGAAAAAACAATCTCAATATTGACATTTCACTCCCAAAAAAAATCAAAACCTTAAGAAACAAAAAACAAAATGAAGTTTCATTAATGTACCAATTCATTGCCCAAGTCAATAACAGCTTCTTGATAGCTAGTTTTCTTGCCTTGGCTACTCCCACAAAACACACAAATCCTCTTGAATTTTGAAGCCTTTACCTCACTCCGTGTCTCCATTTTCTTCGGATTTTCTCACTCCTCCCAACCTCAATCTCTCTCTATACTATAAATTTGTCTTTGTGTGTTTATAACAACTTGAAAATAAAACACAAATCTTGCTTCTTTTAATCCTCTTCTACTATACACATTTTAGCAAATATGTAATGTGTTTATATAAATACCTCCCCCTCCTGTGCCTGATCCTCCCGAATCACCCCCTGAAACTATACCTCCCTCTCCCCTGCCTGAATGCCCTCCACCACCACCACTACCTCCACCTCCACCACCACCTCGACCTCAACCTCCAAAACCTCCACCACAACCAGAACAGTACCGCAATTAAATAGTCAATTACTTCAGACAAATTATGGATTTAGGACTTCAAATATTAGAGACTCACCAGTTGCAATCGTTGATACGAATTGAATCGTACTTCGTGCTTTTAGAGATGGAGAGTGAAGATGTAGGAGGAGACGATTCCGACAGTTTTCACATTTTCAGGTTGCTGGTTTTCTAGGTTGATTTCAGCTGTATTACGAGACGATTTTGGGAGATGTTGGGTAACAATTGTAGCAGATGTCAAGGGCAATCTGTTGGGACCAATGTCCAGCGGTTTTGGTGGTTGAACTGTGGCGGAAAACGGATTCAGAGGTAGAAGTGGAAGGAAGGAAGCCATGGGGAGAGGAATGAGGGAGGCGTGAATGAGTTTAGGCATAGGGTTCTATATATAATTTAATTTAGGATGTCATGCGAAAATATTATTTATTTGCAACGTTTGATTAATGTGGTTAAAGATGAAACTTTTCGCAACGTTAGATAAACGTTGCTAAAAGTCACATTTCGCAACGTTTATCAAATGTTGCCAAAAGTCACCTTTAGCAACGTTTATCAAACGTTGCGAAAAGTCTTACCTTTCGCAATGTTTTTCGCAACGTTTATCAAACGTTGGTAAGGGTAAAACCTTCTGCAATACTCAATAAACGTTGTTAAAGGTGTCTACTGCAACATTTTTCTAAAAAACGTTGCCAAAACTCATTTATATTAACCAATGGCTACATTTACTTACTAAAATGTTGTCAAAAGACCCTTTAGGAAACATTTGTTGACAAATGTTGCCATTTTAATGTTGCAAATGACTATTTTTGTTGTAGTGCTAAATTGATATCTTGAATTAAAATAAATGAAGACAGGGTTCAAACATTCATCCAATAAAATGAAAAACTAGTTTAACATATGTAAAATTAAATTACAAATGAACAATTAGAAAATCATCACCCGGAAAGAAGAAATAATGAAGAATTAAGAATTTTCCACGTTCTTGATGTGAATTTTGAATCCGGATGAAGAATCTTCAATATCCTATGCAATTCGCCTTGATTTCAAGTTGTTAGCCATGTTTTTCGTCTCCAAAATATGTATAATATAGAGATTTTTAGGTCTAGGGAGGTTCTTCATATGTATTCTACTGTTCTCTCTTTATAGGAGCCGAAAATTGGTTGAAAATCACGTCCAAATTGGTTTCCAAAAGAGTTCTAATCGAATAAGGAAAGTTGCATTCACGCGCGGATTTTTTGTTTCTGCACAGCAGTCCGTATTTTAGTCATAATTTTCTCTTCTGATATCCGATTGATGCGATTCAAAGTGCATTGGAAAGATAACTTAAAGGGCTACAACTTTGATTGAAAATAGTTTTTTAATTTGGACGTTTACTATGCCAAAAAGGGGTCTCAATATTCAGCTAAAAATTTGGAATATATCTTGAGCAATTGCAAACTGATTTTGATAAGACTTTGATCATGTTCTATTCCTTTTTGAATTCTAATTTTATCCAATTGTCTCTTAACAATCTTCAAAGTATCTTCTTGAGTATTTGTAATTTGATCCTCAAACTTTGAATTTTTCCATTTTTCGCTATTTTTGCATTCTTTTCTCCAATTCTTCATCAAACATTGAGTTTTACCTACAAGATACAATATAACATAATTTAGGTCGTATTTTGCCAAAAAGACAACAAAATTCTAGAGTTTCAAACCCCGAATAAGTGTAAAAAATACACTTATCATTATGCCTAGCAATATGGAATTGATTTTACTGATACATTTGCTCCTATTGCCAGACTTGAAATAATAAGGTTGTTATTTGCAATGGCTGCTCATTCAGAATAGAAGATATACTAGCTAGATGTTAAATTTACCTTCCTGAATGGGCATTTAAATGAAGAGATTTTCATTGAACAACCTGAAGGCTTCATCAAAAGAAAGAAAATAGGATAAGGTGTATCTATTAAGGAAAGCCTTATATGACTTGAAGCAGGTGCCAATGAGTTGGTATAGCAAAATAGACAATCATCTGTGCAACCTTGGTTTCAGCAAGAGTGTTAATGAACAAACTAATAACCCAAGAATAACTAACCAAGAGGGGCTGAATTGGTTTTTAAAACTTTTTCGACACTTAGTCTCAAAACTATTTATAATACGAGTTACAAATAAGCAAAATGTAGTTAAGATGAGAAGAGTGTGCAAATTCGATAGCTTAATTCAAGTGTATGCAATTAAGGAAATATATCACGATGTAAATGGCTATGTAAGTAAAGTGCAATAAGTAAAGATAACAAGCCAATTTAATGGGGTTCGATACACAAAGTGTTCTACGTCGCCGTTACCAAGCTCTCCGTCACGAGCAATGTCAAATTCACTAAAAGTGGTAACTTACAAACAAGGAGTACCAATCCTTAAGTGACTTACAATAATGAGCACTTATCCTTAGGTGACTTACAACAAGATGTACCTAACCTTAATAACACTCGAGTTTTCACAAGGTTCCCGAAACCACAAAGATATGAAAGATAATTTTACAATTGAAACTACTCTCTTAACAAAGGATATAATCAAGTCAATTATTTAGAAAGTTAGGATGACACATCAATAAATAGTAATTGTTTAAGCTCAAGTGTTTTATGTTGTAAAACTTTGATGAATGATGAACTAGTTAAGATCAATGTGCCAAAGTTTTCAACCAATGAATCTATCTTAACAAATAATACAAAATTAAGTATAGAGAGAGATTTACACTTCAATGAGTGTTGGCAAAGAAAAACTTTTGTCAATTACAATAGAACAGATGAGATGAAGTTTCTCTGCAAAAATGGAATCTTTTATGAAGTAGATGAAGAAACATTAATTGCACCAAAAATAATATTATCAATGTAAATTTGTACAACAACTATATCATCCTTTTTCGTTTTGATAAAGAGTATAGTATCCGCATTTCTCGTTTGAAAGCCATTTGAAGCGAGAAATTTGCTCAATCTTTCATACCAAGCTATTGGAGCTTGTTTCAAACCATAAAGAGCTTTTCTAAGTTAAAAACACTTTTTTCCAAAATTTGTGATTTTTGAAACCAGAAGGTTGCTCGACAAAAACTTCCTCTTGAATAAATCTATTCAAAAATACACTTTTCACATCCATTTGATAAAGAGTAAAATTTTTATGGCAAGCAAATGCAAGAAGCAAGTGAATTGATTCTAACCTAACAACTGGTGCGAAGGTTTATTCATAATCTATGTCTTCTTCTTGATTGTAACCTTAAGCCATCAATCTAGCCTTGTTACGCACAATAATTTCATTTTCATCTCGTTTATTTTGAAATACCCATTTTGTACCAATTACGGTTTGATCGTTTGGTCTATTAACTAAATCTCAAACATGATTTCTTTCAAATTGATTTAATTCTTCTTGCATTGCAAGAATTCAAAACTCATCAAACTCGGCTTCTTTCAAGTTTTTAGGTTCAATTTATGAGATGAAAGCACAACTACTAAGATGATTTTTGAGTGAAGTTCTAGTAATGATACCTTTGGATGGATCGCCGATAATTAGTTCATTTGGATGGGAAGAGACGAATTTCTATTCCTTTGGTAGTGCGGGATCGTTTTGTGCCTATGTTGACTTTTCTTCATTTTCTTGATTGATGGACTCCTTTGATTGATCTTCATTTGACATTTCTTTGTTTTTGTCTTAAATACTCATTTGTTTGAATGAAGTTTCCACATCTAGATCTTCGTCAATGCCCTTCTCTTGATCAAGAGAGTTAATTTCATCAAATATAACGTGCATGGATTCTTCCACTACTAGAGTTCTTTTGTTGAAAACTTATAGGCTTGGCTAGTAGGTGAGTATCCAAGGAAGATTCCAATATCGGATTTTGAATCAAATTTTCTTTGTATTCAATATAAAACATTTGCAATCAAAGACTTTAAAATAGCTAATATTTGGAATTATATTTTTCCAAAGCTCGTATGGAGTTTTGGCATTCTTATGACTAACCAAAACTCTATTTAAAATATAGCATTCGGTGTTAACGACTTCGACCCAAAAATATTTAGGCAAATTATTTTCCCTTAACATGGTCCTAGCCATTTCTTGCTATGTACGATTCTTCCTTTCTACTACACCATCTTGTTGAGAAGTCTTAGGAGCCGAAAAATTGTGTTCATATCCGTTTTCATTACAAAAATTGTCAAAAGTATGGTTGTCAAATTCTCCACCATTGTCACTTTTAATAGTTAAAATAGTGTAGCCTTTTTCATTTTCAATTTTCTTGCAAAAGTAAAAACTTTTAAGGCTTCATCTTTCATACTAAAAAAATATGACCCAAGTAAATCTTGAGAAATCATCGACTATAATGAAGGCGTAATGTTTACCACCTAGGCTAGCCGTTCTTGATGGTCCAACAAGATCTATGTGGAGAAGTTGTAAATGTTTTATGGTTGAAGAAAAGTACTTAGTTTTGAAGGAACTTTTTGTTTGTTTTCCAAATTGACACGCATCACAAATTTTGTCATTTTCAAATTTTAAATTTGGTAGACCTTTAATAAAGCAATTTTTTGAGATTTTTGAAATTAGGTCCATGTTAACATGGCATAATCTTCTATACCATAACCAAGTGTCATCTTTAAAACTTGACAAACATTTTAATTCCTTTTCAAATTCAATGTTAACGACATAAACATCCTTACT